TGCACCCGCGCACCGGGCGCTTGGTGAGCCTGTCGGCCTGCGGGCGCACGGCGCGGCGGCAGCAGCCGGGCCAGGAGTTTAACCACGGGTTGGTGCTGAGCCGGGAACCCTTGCGCGACGGACGCGTCTTCACTGTCCGCATCGACCGCAAGGTGCAGAGCCGGGGCGGCGGCGGAATCGTGGTGGAGGGTGGTGGGAGCGGACGGGAAGGGGGAAGAGGTAGAACGGGCACGGAAAGTCTGTGCGTGTCCAACCAAAGTCCCCAGGTACCGACAGCGAACCTGCAGCCCGGAGTGCACCGGGGAACAGAAAGAATAAGAGCCTGAAGCGGACACATTCATTCTGAAGGAGAATGAGTTTCCTCGGGACCCGGGAGCAGGACAGGGATGCAGGGCCCAGTTACTAGAATGGCTAGTGGACAGATCTAGCACGATCTCTTGGGGATGGGAGACAGACAGGTGTCCCGAGATGTGATGGAGAGGGTAAAGAATTAGCAAACAGCACAAATATTGAAGGACAGACACCCAAAGCCAGGAAGATAGATGAGGAGACATGGGAAAAGGGAGGTGTGTGTGACTTGCTTGGCTCAGAGAAAGAATTTGGGAAGAGAGTGAATCCGGAGGGAGCTTTACCTTACTAGAGGATTGGGAATGAGAGTGATTGAGGAAAGCAAGATATATGGATCTAGGAAGCATGTGACTGGGGTCCATGAGGAGCCACTGAGACTAGGGAAGGTCGAAACCAGAGTCCTTAACCAGCTTGCTTAGTGGGTAAAAGGGTGTCGTGGTTAGCACTAGGAAGCTGGATACAGCACAGAGTTGCTAAGGGAGGGCAGGTCTAGGTAGTTATGGAGTGAGGTCTAACAAGGTATTTGTGAGTCCGTGTTGTCCCAGAGGTCAGGGCGAGAGGCACGCTGTCCTGTGGAAGGTAGTTTCTGGTGGGGGGATCCATACTGAGACTCTGCCCACCCCTGTCTCGTAGGTCAACTCCTGGAGTGGTTCCATTGAAATCGGGGTGACGGCTCTGGACCCCAGCGTACTGGACTTCCCAAGCAGTGCCACCGGACTCAAGGGGGGCTCCTGGGTGGTATCGGGCTGCTCGGTGCTGAGGGATGGGCGCTCCGTGTTGGAGGAATATGGCCAGGACCTGGACCAGCTTGTCGAAGGGGACCGTGTTGGTGTGGAGCGCACAGCCACCGGGGAGCTCCGGCTCTGGGTGAATGGGCGCGACTGCGGCGTGGCTGCCACAGGCCTGCCTGCTCGCGTCTGGGCTGTCGTGGACCTTTATGGCAAGTGCACCCAGATCACCGTGCTGCCCCCCGAGCCAGGCTTCAGCCCTCCCACTCCCAGCCCTACACCTCCCCTTGAGCCCTTGGCCCCTCCGGAAGATTCCGCCTTGTCGGAACAGGGGACCTCTGTGGATGAAGGTGAGAACACAGCTTCCGGGAATCATGAGGTGTAGCTGAAGAAATGGGGCAAAAGTAGTCAGTCACAAGTCAGCTGGGGGAGGGGCAGGGCCGCTGAGCCGGAGCCTGTTGTAGGGGAACACGGGGCTTAGAAGAGAATGGTCCCTGGACCGTGGGCCCTGACGCACAGGCTGAACCCTTATTCCCCTCCCGTCCCACCTGGTCCCTAGCCTTCATAGTGTCCCCAGCGCGGGCCCGGCCGGAGACGTTTCCCAACAGCCTTGAGTCGCATAATGGTGAGGGCTTCGGGGAAGCCCTGGGCAGGGGAGTGGGTAGTGACGTGGATAAGGGTGGGACTTCGAGAGCTGGGTAGGGAGAAAAGGGTCCCAAGCTAGCTAGAGAGGATAGAGAGCGCCTCACCTTGACTTCCTTTCTCCATCTGGCTGCTGCAGACTTTGCCAGCATGGAGCTCTCCGAGGTGGTGAGCAATGCTATCTTGTCGGCCTACAATGGAGGCCTCCTTAATGTGAACCTGAGCTCCCCACCAGCTGGGGAGGGCTCAGCATCCAGTGGACCTGCCACTTCTCCCATCCTGACTTCCAACGACGCCCTGCTCTTTCATGAGAAGTGTGGGACCCTCATCAAACTCAGCAACAATAACAAGACGGCGGAGCGCCGGAGGCCCCTGGATGAGTTCAACAATGGTGTTGTCATGACCAACCGCCCTCTTCGGGACAATGAGATGTTTGAGGTATGTAAAACCCTGAAGTCTAGCCGAGCTTCATGCCAAAGATCGGGAGCTAAATGTAAGGATTGGTCCTTGATTCCGGGATGGTAATGCCTGGTGAAGAGTCCAGGGTTCGAGGGTTCATCGTCGTCTTTTCTTATGTGCTCTGATCCTGTCTGCTCTCACTCAACCCCAGATCCGTATTGATAAGCTTGTAGACAAGTGGTCAGGCTCCATTGAGATTGGTGTCACTACCCACAATCCCAACAGCTTGGAGTACCCAGCCACCATGACCAACCTCCAGTCAGGTACCGGCTGTGGGAAGGGACACGGGTTGTGGGTTGATGAGGGTGAGACAGCCTGTACCCTAACTGGGTGTCCATTTTTACTAGGTACCATCATGATGAGTGGCTGTGGGATCCTGACCAATGGCAAGGGTACTCGCCGGGAGTACTGTGAATTCAGTCTGGATGAACTGCAGGTGAGTGTGTCTCTCAGTAGCGTGGGCCAGTCAGGGGAGCCAGGGCTCCAGGCAGTGTGATCTAAGACAAAGACCAAGTCCCTTTCTCTCTCGTAAGGCTTCTTCTAGGAAGGCAGGGTTGTCCAACAAGATCTAAAAGATGATTTTAGTAGTGCCTTTTTGTCCATTGGTGCTAGGAATGGAACTTCCACTGAGTTATGTCTCTAGCCCTTAGAGCACTTAAATAGATTGAGATTTTAGAGAGTAGTGGGGAGATTAGTTTTTTGTTTGTTTGTTTTTGTTTTTTTGTTTTTGTTTTTGGAGACAGGGTTCCTCTGTGTAGTTTGGTGCCTGTCCTGGATCTCGTTCTGTAGACCAGGCTCTCCTCCCGGGTGCTGGGATTAAAGGCGTGTGCTACCTCTATCTGGCAGGAGATTGTTTTTAATGTGGTTTATTTAGCTCAGGATTACCTACTTTACACTGGGCATTTGGGAAATGTGTCTGGAAAGCGGGGACTAGGCCCTGCCCTGGAGTGGCCTTATGTGAATTCCTTCAGTAGGTGGTCTCCTGTGGAATGGGGTGGTAGGAAGTGCCCAGGACTGCTGGAACCTGAGCCTGAGTGTAGCTGGATTCCAGACTAGGGTCTCTCTTCTTTGGCTAGGAGGGTGACCATATTGGCCTGACGAGGAAGTCCAACTCTGCCCTGCACTTCTTCATTAATGGCATCGATCAGGGTAAGGTGACACACGAGACAGACTGCTGGCCGGGCCGTCCGTGGGTCTGTACCCCACCCTTCTCTGGTGCTTGCTCTTGTTCTGGTTGACTCTGATTCTCTGTGTACAGGTGTGGCTACCCCTCTGACGCCACCAGTGGTGTATGGTGTGGTAGACCTGTACGGGATGGCTGTGAAAGTGACCATCGTCCATAATAATAACCACAGTGACCGTCTCCGCCGGAACAATGCCATCCTGAGGGCACTGTCCCCAGAGGGTGCTCTCCGTCGGGCTGCTCCTGCTGCCCAGGCAGAACCGGAACGCCTGCTCTTCCATCCAAACTGTGGACAGAAGGCAGCCATCACCCACGAGGGACGCACTGCCCTTAGGCCCCAGTATGACCTGTGGCGTGGGGAGAGACCTGTGAAGGGGGCCCAAATAGGGGGTGGGAGCAGTGAGGTGGGCACGTGGGAGGCAGAGTGTATCTGGTGTGGGAATTCTTGGACAGAAAGGTGGAGACTTCCCGGGGCAGGAAGCTGGTTGGTTGTCTTGGGACAGTGGCTATTGGACAAGAACTGCTGGTTTAAGCCTCGGCGCGCTCCGTGAGTGTGTGGAGTTCTGAGTCCTCACTTGCTCTGTCCTCAGCGCCACTGATGACTTCAATCATGGTGTGGTACTAAGCAGCAGAGCCCTGCGGGATGGAGAGGTGTTCCAGGTGCGCATTGACAAGATGGTGGACAAATGGGCCGGTTCCATTGAGATTGGTGTCACCACCCACAACCCCGCCTACCTCCAGTTACCCTCTACCATGACCAATTTACGCTCCGGTGAGATGCCAAGAAGGGCAGGGCTGGATTAGGGTCCAGGGAAGAAGCTGCTGCAACGTTCTGGATCCTGCCCCGTTGGTCACCTTCTGCCACTTCTGTCCCTGCAGGGACCTGGATGATGACTGGGAATGGGGTCATGCACAATGGGACAACCATCCTGGATGAATATGGACACAACCTGGACCGCCTCAAGGTGAGAGAGTAGGCACACTGATGGCTGTCGTTTTGGGAGCGTCAGTGAGGTAGGATGGATGCAGGATCGTCTCCAGCAGGAACTCCGCCTGACTCCTCACTCTAGCCCCCACTTCTTCCAAGGCAGGGGACACGGTGGGCGTGGTGCGGCGGGAGGATGGAACCCTCCACTTCTTTGTCAACGGGATGACTCAGGGCCCTGCCGCCTGGAATGTCCCCCCGGGCGTCTACGCTGTCGTCGATCTCTATGGCCAGGCTGCCCAGGCCACTATTGTGGATGACGTGGGTGAGGGCCCA